TTTTCTCTCTCTTCAAAACGACTGATTTCAGCTTTATAATCTTCAGATCGGCCCGGCCGATCGCCAGATCGTCCCGGGACGATCAGACCAAAATTCGATCGTCCCGATCGCCCTGGACGATTCCCAGAACTATGCTCAGGCCGATATTTTCTACAGTGCCGATCGGCCTGGACGATGTCCAAATCGGCCTGGACGATATGTACAGAAAATCACCTGGAGCAAAACTGGGCAAAATCTGGAGCAAACTTTCCACTGATCGTCCCAGGACGATCCAGATCGTCCTGGACGATCCTGGAGCAGATTTTTGATATTACAATGTCATCCAATTCTAACATATCAAGACATTTAAATGCCCAAAGAATAATCTATTATCTTCAATATAGGCCATTTGATATAGTATTTTAGATTGTGTCAATATTCATGAGGCATGTGCAACACCCTATTTTTAAATAATATGAATTTTTATAGTTATTAGAAGTCACATGAAGTACTACAGTGTTGTGATTTAAGGAGCAGCGGCACCGAGAAGTATTAGAGAGTGGCACCTTGGTGCCATATCTCTCTATTTTGTTGTAACTTTGAAAATGCAACTAGCACAATGGTCTAACAACAATTCCAGTTAGTTCTAAATGTTTCATACAACATGCTAGTATGCTTGGATATTTATTGAGTGATGCTCAAAGTAAATAGGCCGGACATAATGAATCAAAAGAGGATAGACGTATACAAATCTTTCATAAATTGAAGCCAACACTGTTCAAAGGAGCTATTGAATCCTAGGTATTTGAAGATTGGATGTTGAAGATATATAATATATTTAACATATACAATGTCCATATAATAAGAAAAGCTCAACTACTAGTATTTATGTTTGAAGGAGAGGCTAATAAATGGTGTATAAGAAAATAAAGGGAGATATTTTAGGGTAACATGGAGCTGAGTTCATTACAAATTTTATAGATTAGTTTGTATCTCCATTAACTAGACAATAAATACAAGAAGGTTTAGTTATATAAGATCAAAGAGAAAAGATAGAGATGCAATCAAAAATAAAATTTGCTGAACTAGTAAGGTATGCTCCACAGTTGATCAATATAGCAGATTAAAAATAACATAGATTCTTGAAAGGACTAAAGGATGAGTTGAGGCATCTTCTTATACCACAGAGAATTTATGAATTTTTAGAGTTTATGGAGAGAGCAAGATTGGTGAATAAAGATTTGGCTATTCTCCAATTTATATAGGATACGAGCAAGAAGTGATTAAGAGATAATACGACCAAGAGAGACAGCAGTGAAAGGAATTACATTTCTAGACAACATAAAATGGTTTGAGTAGAGAGTGAGTAGTGTACTAAAGTGTTCCCCAATGGACATAACAACAACAACAACAACATCAAGCCTTTATCCCACTACGTGGGGTCGGCTACATGAATCCTTTTTCTCCATTGTGTCATATTAAAAGTCAAATTCTAGTTTAAATCTAATAAAGAAAGGTCATTCCAAATATTTTCTAACCAAGGCTTTTTAGGTCTACCCCTACCTTTCTTAACACAAGTCAAATCTAATACCTCTACTCTCCTAACTGGGTTATCGAAAGGCCGCCTTTTTACTCTCTTAACTGGGTCGTCGGAAGGCCGCCTTTTTATGTGACCAAACCATCTAAGGCGACTCTCTCTAATCTTATCTTCTACTGGAGCTACTCCAACCTTTTCACGTATATGCTCATTTCGTATCCTATCTCTAAGGGTAAAGCCACTCATCCACCTGAGCATCCTCATTTCTGCCACACTTAACTTAGTATTATGCTGCTCTTTTAATGGCCAACATTCGGCACCATAAAGCATTGCAGGCCTCACTACCATCTTATAGAATTTTCCCCTAAGTTTGAGGTTAACATTTCTATCACATAACAAGCCCGATGCATTCCTCCACTTCAACCATACAACTTGAATTCTGCTGATAATATCCCCATCTATTTCACCATCACTTTGAACAATAGATCCAAGATATCTAAAACGTGTACTCTTATTAATGACTTGATCGCCCAAAGTCACAATCCCCTCACTTGGTCTATTACTACTAAAATTACACTCCATATATTCCGTTTTAGATCTACTCAAGCGAAAACCTTTAGACTCTAAGGTTGACCTCCATAATTATATGAATGATCCATAGATTATATGTATGATAATCTAAAAATTATAAACTATATGAAAACTAGGTCCTACAGCAGCCTACACAAGTCTAAGTGTCTACCACAATCTTATAAATAAAATGTTTTAAACGTTTTGCAGATTATTTTTTAGTTATATAAATGTAATTACTTTTTTTTTTTTAACTAATAAAAAATGTATCAATGTTTTAAATGTGTTCATTCTTGGATCTTTTGATAAAATCTTACTCAAGCAATTCATATTGCAATTTAATAAAACACACAATTTGAATGTTCACTTAAGCTATCATGAATTGTAAGTATAGTTGAGCTCATCCTCATACGTTAGCAATGTGCAAGCTTGTTTTGCAAATTCTTAGCAATCCATTATATATTCATGGTTATTAGAAAATAATTAACATGAAATAAAACACTTAGGATTGTGTGCAAGATTGAAGGCTCAGATACTATGAAATTAAGGATATTAGTGATATAGTTGTATGATTGATTTGAGTTAGATATGTACTAGATTTAATGAAGAAATTAATATCCTTAAGTGTTCTTAATGCTACAGGATATGGATTCCTTGGTGATGCTAAAACCCCTAAATTCTATAAAGGTACATTGGTTGTCTTAAAGACGAATAGAGTTTAGTAGATTTTGTGTTATGAAGTGCAATGTCACGTGATGATGTGTTGGAGTCAGTAACCAAATGAGAACTCATGGAAACTAGAAGGATACCAAGTATATGATGTCATGTATAAGAAATATAGAAGCTAATTCAAAATTTATTGCTAGTGATTGTGGAAGATCAATGTAGAATAAAATATTTGTTAAGTGAGAATTTTTAAAGGACAAATTATCATTACAAAACAAAAAAAATTGAAATCAAGGAGAGAGATGACAATAAGGCAAGGTTTACTTTTGAAAAGATTGTTAAAATGTGTTGAATAGAGAAATGTTTAGATATGGGCACTAAACAAGTATATAAAAAATTTAGACTCCAAGTGGGAGATTATTTGGTGAGTCTAAATTTTCTTGACCATTTTAGATACGATTTAATTTTGATTTTCAAGATTAGGTGTTTAACAAACTCTAAGATTTATTCACGCCTAATTTTTCAAAATTGGTATTATCAAACTCAAGATTCATTCACACCTACCACCTCAAGTTGCTCTATGATAATCTATGGTTGCATAGCCACAAAAAGATGCAACAATGAGAACAAAGGAAGAGGAAGAGAGACCAAAGAGAGCGTAATTTAAGAAAGAAAGGAAGATTTTTTAGGGTAATTGCAGAGGCGGTCTTAGTTTGTACTCTCATGACATAATAGTAAGGAGTAGTCCTCGTTTTAACTCCTGCAATAAAGAGTGGAAGAGAGTTACTGTAACAATAATAGCATCTCCATCTCTACGTCTGTCCTTCATCTTCATAACAAGTGGGTGCATTCTCTCCCATCTTAACGAATGGTATGTTTTTCATTCTCTTTATTTTTATATGAAGTATAATCTCCTAATATACTCCTTTTAAAACTCATTGAATTTTTTTTATCTCAATGCATTATTGCACGTAACATTGTAAATTTTTTCGAATAATTATGACATGAATTCTTTAATATATTATATTGTTGTTGTTGTTGTATGCATTCATACACGTAAGTGGACCTCATTTAACCGTGTAAACTTATGCCTTATATTTTTATCTTTTTTTTCTCATCTTCATTTAATTTTGGCTTAACTTTCCTCTCTCTTTCCCAGCAGGCATAGCCCTAAAAATTTGGAGGGACGCATGATTGCATCAGGAAGTGATCAAACCAAGCCGCAACCTCTAATTAGATACTGTGTTAGAAAAGAATTACATGCAAATCCATACATGAAATATGATCTCATGAGGCAATCAAATAATGTGAAGCTTTGGAGGGAAAAGGTGGAAGGAAAAAAAAATATTGTGGACAACTGCAAGTGTCCTTAATTTATTTCAAACTAAGGTGAATTGAAATTTGAGAAATTTTCATTCACAACGGCTTCCTGTACCTAGTTGCAATTTCAGTCTTTTGATGTTCTATTTACAAGTGTTAATGTTTGTAGAATGTTGACCTTAAATATGTAATGCATGTTCTCATTACCAGTGTCGATATCTGTCCTCGAAACTTCATGAACTCTGTGCAAAGGGTAGTTGAAGTTACTTTCCGTACAATATCATGATAAAACTTTTTACTTATATGAAGTATAATTGCAGGGAAAAGAAAGAGATGAAATACCAATATTATCTAGCGAAGATAAATGCAATTGCTAGAGAGGTGGAAGGAGTTTGTCGTTAGACACAACTTGCTTGCTTGAAACCCCAGCCTCCCAAGTCCCAAGCTGGTATCAGCATGCAACACACGTGTAAGTGCTCAGTCAGAATACACAAGTTTTGACTCAAGAATCTATTGTTGTGAGATCCAAGGTCATGCTTTTCTAATTCAAATGATCTTTAAATCAATTGTTTTGAGTCATGACTAAAGCATTTGCCTACTTATGCCTGACTATGCGTAGCAACAAGGACATTATATAACAGTAAGAAGAGTGGAGGCATAAGCTTGTATGTGGGAGTGAAAACATCCAGACAGATCAAGGAGAGATTATTCTGTGCGGATACCGGACAGGAGAACCGTCTGTTACCGCTTGGTACAGACGCTCGTACTGCTTGGTATCGTGCTAGGTACCGAGAGGTACACTTTTTGGGTAACGTGACACATTTTTATTGGTCTCTGGATGATGTCTGGATTCCGCACGTAACAATTTGTCTGGACCAAGGGCATGGTTTGTGACTTTAGGGTCTCTCTTTGAATCAATTCTTTGAGATGGGTAAAGAAATTGATGGTGACGTTGGCTGCAAGGACAGTGGCATGCTGTTGGGGTTTCCTGATGTAGGATCACCAGAACTGGGTTTGGTCGGGGCCTTTTGCATGTTTGTTGTTGCGCGAGACGGGGATCGCTGGTTTTGGGTGCCTAGGGCGTGGTGAGGGGTTGGGATCATGGATTCAGGTACGAGATGGGCCACATTTGGGTGTTTTGGGGACGAGATGGGCCAATGCATTTGTAGTTTGCCTGATTATGACATTTGACATTCCTCAAAAATACTTATCCAGGGTATTAGAAATTACTTAAAAATATTTTGTAGTTGTTTTACTTCAATCCCAAACTCCTATAACATCAAAATCCATACATTTCTTTTACTTTAGCCTCCTTGTACACTTAGATTTCATTTGGGATTGCTTATTTTTTTCTTCTTAAAGAATTTTTTTAGTATAAAAATTAAAAATTGTATCAAAAAGTTGTTTTAAGAAACAGTAAAAAATTCGTCCCTAACAAAATCTTAACTTTGGACAAAAAGCTTAGTTTTTTTTTGTTGCTTAAATATCAAATGTTATTATTATTATTTTTATATTATTATTTTTTTAAAAGGTAGATTAACTTAAATATCAAATGTAAAGTAGAGTGTCTTAATGCAATTGCTTTCATTAGTGTTGTAAAGACTTATTTGTAGGAATAATGAGCCACATCATCCCTTCGCTCGGTACTGCGGCTTGGTACTGCTCGATACTGCAGTTCTGTACCGTTGACGTGGCACATTCTGGTTTGTTTATAGATGGCTTTTTGCGTTCGGACTCCGCACATAATAATTTCTCTATTTGTAGAGCTTTTGCTTGTCATTCTTCTTGCAATGCGGACTTGCAGGCATGCCAAGTCTTTTTCAGGAAAAATCTTTGATGTTTGTCTTGTATGCAGGTGTAGGTTTGTCTTCCTTTGATTTGTAGTAGCAAGTAAGGAAAGAAGGGGTTTGATTGGCTTGTTGCTGTGGTTGGGGAATCGAAAGTAGTCCTTCGCTTGTTTGTGGCAGGCAGGTCGACTTAAGTCAAAAACAGGGGATCAATCGATTGGGCGGATGGATGTGCCTACTTAATAGAAGGAAATGGGGAATCTGAGGTTATGGCTATGTTTATGAGCCATTTGAAATGTTTAATATGTCATGATATTTTGTTAGCTTAAATTGGTCATGAAATTTGTCTTTTTGAATAATTTTGATAAAGGCATATGAAATTTTGATAAAATTTTTAAATACGCAATCACTTTGTCCTTAAAGAATAGAGAAGTAATCGACATCATCATAAAATGCCAAATTATGAGTCGTTTTTTACATTACTTCACTATGGAATTATACTAATCTCCTTAATTATGATTTTTTGTCATAATTAAGGTAGATAATTAGACATAGGAACTTGTCTTATGAGAATCTTTACATAAGAACCGTGAAATCCTTTAATTTAACCAAAATTAAAAAAAAAATAAAATCTTATAACTAATTTATTCTCTTGTAGAGTACTTCCTTTAAAGATTTTGTCTTCATCAACTTTTCTTTTTTATCATTGTCGCCTTCTTCTTTTCAAGACTTTCTCAAGTTTACCCAAATAGGTCATTGCTTCTCCATCAAATCATTAAGCTTTCTTTGGCTTTTAACCTTCAAATTATTATTTTTGAATTCATCATTTTCTTCATCTCGAGCCCTTTGGCTTAATCCTTATATATATCATTTATGAGATATAAATCAATCAACTTAGAATTGTTCATATTATTTTCCAAGTCTTACTCTTGTGCTTTTTTTTTTTTCCTTAATGTCATATTTTTGTTTAATCAAGGCAAATTATGAAAGATGATAATTTAACAAATACTTAGAGTGTGTTGAACGCTGTTTTAAGATTTTAATTGTATTACATCGTTATTTTTAGCATAAGGATTATTTTCTAATCAATTAAAAAAACAAATCCTCAAAATTTTGATTGTAAAATCTTCATTAAAATATTTAAATATTCATAATCTCAATTACTATAATATGCACAAAGTTACATTGTGAAAATTTTGCGGTAATAAGTTATCCACATTTTTTGTTAACAAAATTATAAATTAAATCATAAAATTCTAGAAATTTTGTTTTTTTTTATTGAAAATAGAGATAGAAAAAATATCAACTATCTTGATTTAAACAACCTTCGTAATTGGACCGTTAGCTAAATTGACTTGAAGTAGCCCAAATTCGGCTCACACTAGGATTCTCTCCCAGTTTCTCTTGTCGGTAGCTACCTTAGGAGAAAATGAATGATATTTTGAGTGCAAATGGATTATTATTATTATTATTATTATTAAAATTCAACCTAGCCCGCGGCGCCAACCACAACGCTCCTTCTAGGAGCCCCCAACACCATAGCGTCGCCACTAGTATTCCCGTGTTGAATTATTTTCAAAATTCCATAGAGCTTGGTGACGAAGCATCACAAACACTAGCATCGCGACGCCCAAGGGGAAATTTCAAATTTTTCTAAACATACAAATAAACATCGGGCGCATTTTAAAATACATGTAAAAGGGTTCAAATGTAGAAATTTAATGGATTAGCTTGGATATGGTCGAGTTAGAACTGATTGAAGGGTATACTGACTTTCTATGTATTACAGTGTCTTCCCTTCTCTCCATTCACATGAAAATAAGACCGAAGCTCCCCTTCATCCCATTCGGTTGCTTGAGCTATTCTGCCTATATGGAGGAAAATTATTACGTCCGGTGTCCGGATTCGTCTGGACACCAATCCAGATGTGCCACATCATGACCAAGATACATCCGGAGCCAAGTGTATCTGGGTGACGTGGCGCGTCTGAATTAGTGTACGAACGGTCCGGTGACCGGACGTAATAATTCGCCCTATATGGAACTATTTTTCATCAAATTTCTTCAATTACTTCGGAGATCTGAAAGTAAAACTCCCTATCTATATCATTAAATTAATATAAGATTCTGCCTAATGGATATTGAAATCTTAGTTTTTATTAATTTTTGTTCATTTTTGAAAATAATAAATGTATAAGAATATTAAAGGAAAAAATAAAAAAAAATAAAAAAAATATTAAAGGCATTTTTACTTAATGTTATAGTATACACAAAAAAATATATATATTAAAATTAAAATAATAGTGATCTCAAATGGCCTCATAACAAATCCTTATGTGAACTTATTATCATCAAATATTAATAAGCCACGCAAATTCTTATTTTGAAGTTATCTTCTGTGTTCGCTTAGTCAAGTTTTCTGCTTCTGTTATAAGTCCTCTTCAAATGTTCTTTAAATCTTATGTGTGTAGGGCATGTTTGGATGCAGGATTTAGGCCAGCGTTTACTAAGATTTAAGCTAAATCCTGCCAAACGCCAAAAAATACAAAGTTAAATCTCACGGTAAGTCTAAACTCATTTCAAGGCGTTTTTGACTTTTTTGCCCTAAATTGCAGATTTCATATATCTTTTTTTTTTTTTTTTTTTTTTTTTATTTTTTTTTTTTTTTTTTTTTTGGTGTATTCACGGATTTAGCAGAAAAAGGGCATGAAAAGGGAGAAATATCGTTACATTCATGGCAATCTCTCGTCATGACTTTCGATCCGACAAGAATAATGTCGTCGTAGGAGGCGGAGAAGTTTCGACTCTTTCAAAAATCTACTTCTCTCAAAGTAGAACAGCAACGAAGAAATGTAGAAGAGTAAAAGTAAACCCTAGAAGGGTAATGATAAGCGACTCGTTCAAAGCTCGATCTACCTAATGCAAACTAGCGAAGCCGAAGAGGAAAGCTCTACCTCATGAAAAGCAATGAAGCTCACATATAAGGATTAGATTAATTCTTAATTTTTAATTAGACATTAATATAATTAATAATAATTAATTAGATAATTTGTATTATAAATATTAATTAAATACTTAATTAGTAATATACTAATTAATTAATTAGATAATTATAAGTATAATTAGTAATTAAAATTATATTTAAAAATTAATAAAATAATTAGTAGTATAAATAGTAATTAAATGATTTGTCATTTCAAATAATAATTAAATAATTATCATTATAACTAGTATTGAACTATTTATTAAAATAACATCTCAATAATTAACAAGATAATTAATAATAATATTATTAATTAAATTATTTGATAATTAAACTAACTTTTAATTATATTATTCATAATTATAATTTATTGATGTTAATTAAAATTGAAATTAATAAGTAACCAATTTAAAACAAAATATCATATGAGTTAATTGCCTTAAATTC